TGCATTTCTGATAATGTATTTGTGGATCACCTTGAGGAGAAGAGGGGGAGTTATACAACTGTTCCCTCATAGTGCTGTTGGAAAGGGTCGGGCTTTGTCTCCTTTGAAATAGATATCAGGAGAGAGCTGCAATCCTGTGAAAACACACATTTATTTCTGAAGTGTTTGTGTATTGTGTGTGTGGTGCACATGAATAGAATTGCCACCTGTCCAAGGCTGATAAGGACAAGCAGTGGTCATGTTCTTGCAGTTTGCTGTGTGAAGAATTGGCACCTACAGCTTCCCTCAGTATGGGTTTATAAAATGCTGCATGCAAGGAGTTGCTTCACCATTTGTGGCACTTTCTGAATTTGCACAGATGAGGATTTGTTGGAGATATTTCTATGATGGATACAGTGTTAGCCACGGCTTCTGAAAACCCCTTACCTTTTTCTTTTGTCCTGCTGTCTCAGAAAGAGCCCATTAGTTATCCTGTTCCTTAAGGAATCCACGTGTGGCACTGCTTTTCTTGATAACCTTGGCCTCAGCTTGTGGGTGGGCAAAGTGACAAGATTCTGATACCCACGTGCTTTGGGCACTGAGTAGAGGAAGTGACTGAGAAAGCTGCTTGGTGTTTCCATTGCACCCAGCAGGGAACTTGTCCTTGCAGTGGGGCTGCTGCCATCATTCCATCCCACATAACTTCCCTTCAGTATTTGCTGAGCCTTGCCAAGCACAAGGATGGACTCCTGGGCTTTGCTGTGACACTGCTGATAGGGATGAGGATATGTAGATATGCAAGTAGGTGGAAACTCTCTAATACATCATAATAGTAATAATAATAATGTACACTTGTACTGCCTTGCAGCTTTCGCTGGAACTTCTGCCCACGCACCAGCCTACTTGGTTCACAATGTAGTGTGCATGCTAGACAATTAGTGGCTGATAATGAAAAATGTCATGGGAACCAGCAGGAAAATCATAGCTTACTCCAAATATATAATGAAATGCAATTAGCACAGACAGCAAAACAGACAATTTATGGTTTCTTTTATTTTTCGTAATTAAAAAGTACCAGTAAACATTCCTTTTTCAGGAAGTTTGCTATCAAATGAAATTAAAGAACTATTGTCTGGAATAGTATTTTATGTAGAATTTAACCCTTGCACAGCAGAATGGATTAAGGTCTTGCTACTTGCAGGTTCTTCAAGTGAATCTAGTATGGAGCTTCTTGTGTTTATTCTCCTGGTCCTGGTCCATCAGGAGGGGCCAGGTCTGGTAGTAGGATTGCTATGAAACCAGCTACAAGCCCAAAACCCATTTGGATACCATGCATGTAACACTGTGGCCAGCACTTCTCTCTTGTTCTTCTAGACAGACTCTCCATGAAGTCATCTTGTAGTGTGGATGTGGCTTTGAGGAAAGGCTGGAGCAGGAACAGCATTATAATTCCTTGTGCTCCCTATGTCCTCTCTCAGATTTCTTCTGTTGACCTCACCTCCATTTCTGATCTCTTTTCTACCTCTGGGCCCTTCACACTGCACTTCTGGTTTGTTCTTGAGCAGTGGGCAAGGAGTGTGTGACCTCAACCTGCCAGGAGCACAAACACCATTTCTTGCTTTGTGCTCTCAACCAGAGCAGCAGAATGAATGGACCCACTGTGACATTACTCAAAGGTGTCTATGGCATTAATTTCTTGGCTTAAAAATGGGTAAATGGGGGAGGATTCTAGCTGAATATTTATGTCCCAAAGCACAAGAGCGGAATGCCTTTACTATGTCACATTTTCTCACTTCAGGCACAGTCTGTCATCCATTGGTGTGAGGATGGACATTTTACCTGTGAAAATTCCAACAACGTGACACATTCCAGCAATGCTGCAGCACAAGGGATGTCTGCACTTCTGCTGCTTTTCCTCCTCAGCATCTCTCATGCCCAAACAGCCACCACAAACCACAACTGTACTCCAAATCTGTTTTACAGCCATTTCCCAGGCACATTCTTAGTTTGGAGTTTCAAATCTGCAGAGAAAGCTCTTCAGCTGAGGGTTGGGAAGAGAGATGGGGGTATGATCAGGACTGTAAGCAGGTGCAGGATGTTTTCCTCTTGATGATGGAGAAGTAAATTGCCAGCCTGCCCCCTCTCCAGAGAGATTTGAGCTTCCAGCTGGAGCCAGCTGCAGTGTGTGAGGCAGTGCTCAGGTGCAGCCCTCCCTCATAGACATTGAGGCACAAACTTCTGGTATCTGGCACAAATATTGTGGTTGAGAAAAGAGGAAATCTGTGCATAAAGCCATGGGACAGGATTCATGAGCTGTGCTGCCTTGTGCTGTACAAGTCCCAGTCACCTCCTTGCATTTGGACAGACTGTCTTTAGGAGGGGTAGGAGAGCTGCTTGATGTCCATATTGAAGGGAGTTGAGTCCCTTTTTGTCGTTTTCCCAAAAACTCTCCCTCTGTGTGGACGGTTTTTAGTAATTGGCTTTGAAAACTTCCTCCTAGAAGTTGATGCTGGACCTTTGGTGAGCTCTGATAGGTGGTGCCTTTTATATTTTTGCCCCAGGCAATAGGGGGAGCCAGAAGAGTTGTCCCAAGTCCTATGTCACTGAGCTACTACTTTCTTGTTCCTCTATATCTGATCAGGAAACAAGAATTAGAAGGGCAATAAAGCTGCTGTGCCAGTCTGAGTTACTTTAGAGCAAATATATAGCAGGTGATCATTTGTCTCAAGCTTTCATTCAGGATGCCTCTCTAGTCAAAGATCTGCTTTTTCTTCTGTGGTTTTGCAAGGTACTTGAAGGTCTGTTGGGCAAAAGGGGCACTTTGAGGATTTTCCCTAGCTGGGGCTTGTGTAGCATTTCAGAGCATGTGTTGAATAATTTATATTTAAAAATACTGGTGGCTTGCTTGTACCCTGAGAAGGGGAAACCCTTGTCTCCTTGGCTCACTGAGATATTTATGAAATAAAATAAATGTTAGCATTGGTGTCCTTGCTGCACACATTCTCTTGTGTGCTGAGATGTCGTGATACCATGTGTTTTATATATAAAGGTAGAGCATTATCCTTTTTCCTACTTTATGCTCAAGAACAGGGCAAGTCCAGGATGGGATGCAGCCAGGCTTTTATGTATATTCTGGGGTTATGGCTACTTTGATTTATACTCATCTCCTTTGATTTATCCTTGGCTCCAACAGCCATTTAATGGTGACTTCAGCAGCTGAAAATAGCCAGAGTCGATGTCTCACTCAGCCACTCTCACATCCCCAGCCCTGCTCCCTGGGTTGAGGTGTGAGGGGAAAATGGGTCTGAGATATACTGGCCAAATTATCTAGGGAAATTGTGGCACCAAATTGTGGCAGTGCTGGCAGGCACAAGGAGATGTTGGATGGGGCTCTGAACATCTCAGGGGAAGGTGTCCCTGTTCGTATCAGAACAATTGGAACTAGATGGTCTTTAAAGTGCCTTCCAACCCAAACTATTCTGTGGTTCTGTGAATTGTCTGTGCCCGTGAAGAATAGAGCAAGGGAAGTGTAGACTTCACCTTGTTGTCATTTCAGTTGCTGTGATTCAGTGCATATTTCTGTTTCTTCCTCAGGCTGGGATGAGGAAGGTCAGAGCCACCTCCAGAGTCTGTGTAACACATGCTCCTCTGGGTTCAGTCCCAACCACTCATTTGTTTTGCATGTGGGCTGCTGCTATGCATTGGTGATTTTTGCTTCCAGTTGAGACATGTTGGCTTGTATTAATTTAAGTTTTTAAAATCTGCTTGGTAGCAGTCATACAGTACACTATCAAGGCTGTAACTGGGGACAGTATAGCTCTTCTACCCAAGTCTTTTGCTGAGTCAAGTCTTACAAATTTCCTGTTGGATTTTCCACAGGCAGTGCTCTATTTACATCCTTTCATCCTGCTCATCTCATCTGTGAGCTGCAGTTTTGTAATCCCAGGCATCCCTGATGTGCCATTGATGCTGCTGATGTTTCATATTTTATGGGGTCTTTGACTGGAACTGAGCAGCTGAACTTCGCCCCTTCTTGGTGAAGTAGTTACCAGAATACCAAACCAATTTTTTTTGTAGATGACACTGAAAGTTTTTGACATGTGTGCCCTTGCCACCCGCATCAAGTGATGTATGTAGTGTTTGTCCTTTGTTTTGGCATTTTGATATGTGTGAGGGAGGTGAAATGGCTTTAAAAGCCTTTTGCTGGCGCCTGTGGTTTGTTGCAGACGCAGTGGTACAGGCAGAACATGATAAATTGAAACCAGGCTGTTTCTTTACAGTTTGACATAGGGATGTTGATGTACAGGGCTGAGACATCTGCTACTGCAAACCACTGTGCTCATCACCTGTGGCCAAACCTGACACCCAAGGAGCTAAACTGAATTACCTTAGCTGGAGGCTGATGGTTTTTTCCCCCCAGAAAATAATGATAATTATGTGGTACAGTAATATACTCCTTACTTAAGGGTGAAGTAGCTGTTGAATGAGGATCATAGGCTAATACATTAACCTGTTCTTAGTAAATGTAATTAAGTTAGTGAGTACCATTATGTGTAATGTGATTGTTTCAAATAAAATACATAAATTGCAAAGAAGGTGTTGGGGCCTTAATGACCAGCTACACTTTCTTGGATCCTTATTGTAGTACAGATGGAGAGTGCCTCTCTTGGTGCTGGAGGAATTCTGCATTCCTACAAAACTTTATTAAAACAATTTGGTGTCTTTCCTGTGTTGGGATTCATCCTGGGACAGAAATGAAGACCTTCATTGGAACCAAGTCTGTGTGATGTACATCCTTAGCAGACCAGATTGATGTGTTAAATGGATGTTATATCCAAGCCGAAATTGTGCTGGATTTCAATTCCATTTCTTCTGTGGAGAGGATGGGAAAACAGAGCCGTGGATGCAGCTGTGCTTAACCCACATCTTTCCCTAGGCAGTTTGTCCTGGTTGTGCCGATGATTTATTTTTTGAATTTCTGTTCTTAGTTAGTCCTGACACTGCTGGATTTTTGTCTGCAGCTGGACCCTTCATTATCCTCCCTGCAGTCCTCTTTCACTTCATCAACAAGAAGAGAGAGGTGGACTCCAATGCCTGGAACAAGGGTGAAGAAATCACTGTGAAGAAAAGTCCAGAGCTCATGAAGGCCTTGGTGAGTGTCACAGTATTACACTGCCTTTGATCTACAGAGCCTTCTGGAGGCTTTGATTGCTGGGAGGAGAGACACAGACCCACTTGCTGTTTCTCAGGTTGTTTGTGTGGAAAACAGTAGAGTTTTGGGCAATAACCTCCGTTCTGGTAATGGTGGTCACTGTGAATTTGGTAATTTCTTCCTGTATTTGTTTGTAAATTTGCACGTCAGAAGTGTATAATCACTGAGACTGTCAGCCAAGAAGAGGCCCCAGAAGCCTCTCAACTGAAAGATCTGCTCCTCAATGATTCTGTCTTAAATCTAATGGCAGAAGAACACAATCCCAAAACATAGAGCTCATGCAAAGTTGCTTTGTTGTTCATTTTGCCTTGTGCCTCAGTGTGGCTGAGGACGTGATCTGGTTGTACTTTGAGACTCCAGGACTCATGGACAATTGAAGGCTTGGATGCCATCTGTGGTAGGAACTCAGTGGGACTAATTCTTGCTAAATTCATTAGTAAGCCAGGGACAGGCACCAAAAAGGTACAAGTACAAATGGTACTTGAAATGATTCCCACCCACACCCCTCTCGACTGAAAGGCCTAACTTCTGTGTTTCTAAACAAAGACTATGGGGTTTTTTTTATAAGTTTCCTTCATCAATATTACTTTTAAGTCTTTTCCCCCTTCTCTTCGCCTCCCATCAAGTGGTGTAAAAATGAGGCTTTTATTTCGGATTTTAAGATGACACATCTCCCAGGAACGTGTGGGTGTTGACATTCTATGGAGCTGTCACAGGCTATCATGTAAACATGTATTTGCAATGCTTTTTAAAATGTGAATTATTAATAAACAGAGTGGCTTGCTTTTTTTTTTTTTGGTGTTTGTTGCTTTCAGGTTTTGAAGGACAAGGAATTGCTTCCCAGCTGACACTCTCGATGGCAATTTTCATTTCAGACTAAATCTCATGTGTCTGAGTGATAAACCTTTGAAAACATGGGCTTATAATGGAAACACTAAGTCAACTTTAACTACAGCTGTGCCATGCAAGAAAAATACCACGTACCTTAATGAGGTGCTAAATCTGATACGGCAGAGGAATGTGTTGTAATCATTAATTACAATGGAAGCTTAAAGCTGGAGTCTGCCTTTTCCGTTCAAATAAAATCGGCTTGGCGAGTTGGAGCTGAGAGTTATTTAAAAATATCACCTCTATATTTAGTTTAAATTCCACCGTGGTGTCTTGGTACTTGTAAAGTCAATATGGAATCTGTGTGTAGGAAATGCCAAGGCTTTTAAAGGACAGCAGCATGAGGGAATATATTAAACCCTGGGCTAACTCAGTGTGTCATATGGCGAATGTAGAAACCTGGAGGCTGAGCTTGGGCAGGGAAGCCAGGGAAGGCTGTTTCCAGCACCGTGAGGGAGCTCTCCCAAGAAGAGTGTTGACAAGCAAGAGTTTGCTTCAGATTTGGAATATGGCTTTGGTGGGTAGGAAGAAGCAGGATGGGGGAGCGTTTGCAACATGCAGTTCATTGGTTAGAATTCACTTTTCCTCTTTTCAACCCTTTTCTTCTGAGCTGCGTATGTTGCAAGGAGGTCCTGATTCCGAGGACTCTGGTCTTCTTTAACATGCAGCCCCACTAATGGTTGCTCTTCCCAGTTCTAAGTTCTCAAATTGTGGGAAGACTTTAGATTCTCCATGTCTGGAATTAAGAGTGCTTAGACCATATCTATCTAAATAGGAGAGAAGGCATTTTGCATGACTGTGACATCTGCTGTAGGATGAACTCCCACATGCAACAGCACAAGTGAATGAAGGCTGTGGCCAGGGAAAGGATGTATGAGTTCACTGCATGAGCTGCCCCTCTTGCCCTGGATCCAGCTGAGTTTTGAGTTATCCACCAATGAAGAAGAGAGTTGGTAGAGAAGCACGAGGAAATCTGTCTACTTTTCAGGTGTGCAGAGTGACATTAAGAAAATGTACTGTAAAATGTCAGAGCATATTTTTGTTGTTGTTTTTGCTTTCCTGTGTAGAGCCTCACCCCAGAACAAGGCAAGTGACAGAATGAAATAGGTGCTCCCATCAACATCGCTCTAGGATACATCTGGCTGGTTTGTTCCTGATTTAATTTTAATTGCACAGTTTGTGTCTCCATGGAGGGAGAAAGATAAGGAAAAGATAATTGTGAAAATGAAGATTTCATTGAAAACCTTTTAGGAGGCTTCAGGACAAAGACTCTTAATTACTGGGACAAAATTAATAGCAGATTTTTGGTACTTTAGACTTCTATGAATCCTGTTCTTGACTGGTTCATTGATCTTGCTGATGAGTCAATCTCTGGAGCAGGGATGTGCTGCCCTGGTTTCTTCTCACTCAGTTGCAGGAGTCCCTTCACTGGGAGGGCTGGAGTTTATCTGGACACAGCCAGCCTGTATTTAGGATGCACTTGGCACTTCAGGGGAGAGTTCAGAGCAGGCTGCAAAGGTAGAGAAGCTGGTAAGCACATACCTGGTAGGAAGGTAGCACAGAGCGTATCAGGCTTGCTTGGCTATGCCCAAGTATGTGCAGAAGGAAGAGGTGGTGGCATGAAGCTGTCCTGGTCTTTCCAGAGTGATGTAGAGCATTTATATAGGTCGTGTGCAGAACTCCTTAGTGAGGGAAAGATTAACTGCCATGCCTTTAGAGTCAGCTGGAGTGGCTTTTCACAGCACTGGTGGTCTTCCAGAGAGAAGCATGTATGGGAAATTGCCCCTTGAATCATCTCTCCACACAAGGAAGGAGGAGCCTCACTTGAGCAGAGGCTTGAGAGAAGTCAGTGAGATCTCATGTGAGACGTTCTGACGCTGTGAGGGTTTGGTGTCTACAGTGTGAATTTTGGGACCAAGAGGAGGTGGTGATGTTCCTACACACGGTGTTTATAGAGTTGGGGAGCCCTTCAAAAGCTCATGGTTGAAGTGAATTTCACAGGTACTTGTGGCAACACTGGGCAAACCTTTGTGTAGAGAGCTGTAACCAACCATAGCTTCAGTGCTGTGGCTCAGGAGAGTGAAGGGTCCTCTGTTCCACACAGCAATCTTTTCATAATGATGTCACCTGAGACTGGGAAAGAAATTGTAGCCTACTACACTGTGCTTTATATGAAAATATTCCAGTTGTGCCTTGCCTTGAACACTTGTTAAAGATGTATTCTTAATGTGTGAAAACAGCATTAATATGATGAGGTTTGAAGGAAGACTTTTTTTTTCATTTTTCCTTCTGTTTTATCAGCCTCAAGAGCACTTTCAGTTCATGTTCTCAAGCTGTTCAGCGCAGCCACTGTTCCAGCCTCTAGGGCTAGCTGCACACTTAAAATAAATAAATGGAGATGCAGTTCTTATATAAACCACTCATCTCCCTTAGCTGAGGCTTTAAGGAAAGCATCAACACCTCTCACACTCACCCAGGGCTGGAATGTTAGCAGTGCTGCCTGGGTGCTGCCTTTCATTGTCAGCGCTGCCCTGGGCCCAGGCGGGCCCTGGGGACCCGTCACATGCAGTGAGTGGGACTGTCACATGCAGCACAGGCAGAGATTCATCTTCAGAAATAAGAAACGTGGGTGAGTGTGACAGCACCAGTCTGGCTTCCTCCCAAAGTTGTGGAAAATCCAGGGGTGTACTTCTCCAAAGAAATACAGCTGTGGTTGGTCCTTTTAACTCTGATGCTGAGTGCCCAGTAGCTCCACTGTCCTCAGCAAGGGCAGATTGAGAGCGAGTCTGAGGTTGTTTCTGTCACCCAGATGAGGTATGTAGCTCATATTCCTTGACCAGCCTGTGGCAGGAAGGAGAGAAGGTTGGGAAAGGAAAGTTTCTCAGTGCCCACACGAAGCCGCTCTTCTAAAATGTTTTTTCTCTCAACTACTTCAACAGATGCACATAGGAAGAGTGAGTGGCCATGGGACAGTGTGATTGCTGCTGCTGATGCCTGCCCTAGGTGTTGGAGAGCCTGGCTGGCAACAAGCTGAATTAAATGAAGGATTAGAGTAGCTGAGGGAGCAGTCCCTAAGTCAGTAGGGACAACTGCCTGCTCAGATCTGTGGCTCCAAATTCCTTTAAATCCTTTGAGTTTAGGTCTGGTTTTCCTGGTGAACCCTCAGCCTCCCAGCATTTCTGGCTGGACTGGTGGTTGACTTAGAAGTGAGAGGAGATGGAAAGTACAGACTCAGCCACGTGTGCACACAAAGATGGATCACGAAGAATCATCCGCTGTGTTTTTGTCTCCCAAACAGCACTGCCTGCACTGCTCTTGGTGGTCCACACAGAGCAATTCCCACAGGCTCTGTAAGGATGGAGAGTGTGCGTGGGGGAAGGAGTAACAGGAAATGGGTGGCTTCTCTAGATGTTTCTAAAATAACTTCATTTTGTTAAACAGCTAGATATGCTCTCCCACTGCTAATTTCCATGCAAGTAATTGCTCTGATTGACCCTGGTTTGTTCACTTGCTGCAAACTGGGTAGCACAGTTGCAGGCAGGGTGGAGTCTATGGGATCTGCTCTAGGGAGCAGCTTGACAGCACAGGTGGGTGGGTTGGAGTGGTGGTGTAAATTGATGTTTTTTCCAGCCCTTTGAACTTGTGATTTCCTTTTGGCTATTCTGTCTTCACACAAGCCAGGAAATGGCAGCAGCTCAATTACAGAACTTGCTGTAATTTCTGACTGCAGGTTTCTTCTTTCATTCCCCTAATCCAGTAATTACAGATGTTTCTCGGTCTTTCAGCCTGGAAGAGCACAGTTGCCACTACTAACACCACTTTTCTAATACTCCAATGATTTGTGAATTTCTTTATGCCCTTTGTGTAACCCTCGGCTGGAGAAGTATAAATGAGGTTATTCATTGCTGCTTTTTGTACAACCATTTGGCATGGAACAGTTAGGGGCTTTTTTGTGCCTCTGGTGACAAGTAGCTCTTTAAATGCAAAGGGCTTTATTTTGATTTGAAGGATGTGACTGCATTCGGTGGAGTGACTCTGGATTTAACACCAGT